TTATACTAATTATTACGTGGAATAACACATAATAAATTCAAATATTCACATTTGTTTTGACTTTTGGATACATTAAGATTGTTTGTGATGTTTTATTTTTTCACCTGTATTGATGAATTTCATTTAATGTCTAATATATTCTACGTTTTTATACAACAGATACAACCACAACAGACGAACCAGGTAATGCCATCATAATTATTTCATTATGTGTATGATATTTGCAGTGGTTGATAGAATAAGCAGATACTCTCAGTGACTATTACCCTGGATTATTACTGATTATTACGTTGGACTAACGCAGAACAAATTCAAATATTCACATTTGTTTTGACTTTTGGATACATGTAAATTCTTTGGGATGTTTTACTTTTTCACCTGTATTGATAAATTTCATTTAATGTCTAATATATTCTACGTTTCTATACAACAGATACAACAACAACAACAACAGACGAACCAGGTAATGCCATCATAATTATTTTATTATGTGTATAATATTTGCAGTGGTTGATAGAATAAACAAATACTCACAGTGTATATTACTCTGGATTATTACGTTGGAATAACGCAGAATAAATTCAAATATTCACATTTGTTTTGACTTTTGGATACATGTAAATTCTTTGGGATGTTTTACTTTTTCACCTGTATTGATAAATTTCATTTAATGTCTAATATATTCTACGTTTCTATACAACAGATACAACAACAACAACAACAGACGAACCAGGTAATGCCATCATAATTATTTTATTATGTGTATAATATTTGCAGTGGTTGATAGAATAAACAAATACTCACAGTGTATATTACTCTGGATTATTACGTTGGAATAACGCAGAATAAATTCAAATATTCACATTTGTTTTTACTTTTGGATACATTAAGATTGTTTGTGATGTTTTACTTTTTCACCTGTATTGATGAATTTTATTTAATGTCTAATATATTCTACGTTTCTATACAACAGATTATTACGTTGGAATAACGCAGAATTGATTCAAATTTGAATTGTTGATGCATTTAGATTGATAGAATAAGCAGATATTCACAGTGACTATATATTTGAATCAGCTGTAAATGATCAGCTTCTTGGTTTCCTAAAAGAAGTTCTACATACTCTTGCCTTCACAATATGGTTTTCGGAAAAAATACAGAAGCGCCCTTGCCCAATTTGACCTTGTTTCTGATATTACTGCCAACATGGACAACGGTTTTGTTACTTGGGGTATTCATTGATTTAAAAAAGGCCTTCGATATTATTTACTATAATATTCTACTTGGAAAACTGACTTATTATGGGATAAGGGATCTCCCGCTTTCGTGGTTCCGAAGCTACCTAACTAATATACACCAAACAGTAAACATTGACGGAACTGCATCCACATCCAGACAGATTCTATAAGGGGTGGCCTAGGGATTAATATTATGGCCTTTACACGTTCTTCTCTACATAAATGAAATTAACCACTCCACTAATGCTATCAATTTCCGGCTCTTTGCGGATGCCTCAAATTTATTTAAATTCCTGCAAACTAACATAAATTTACAATTAATATAGAAAAAACAAACTATATGATCTTGAAAACCCCGCAAAGAACAGTAAAAGTTTATTTAATGTCTAATATATTCTACGTTTCTATACAATAGATACAACGACAACAGTCGAACCAGGTAATGCCATTATAATTATTTCATTATGTGTATGATGTTTGCAGTGATTGGCAGAATAAATAGATACTCACAATGATTATTACCCTGGATTATTACTGATTATTATGTTGGAATAACGCAGAACAAATTCGAATATCACCTTAGTTTATACTACTGAATACATGTTCGAAAGATTTATACAATCGTACATAAAAGTAAATATTTATATACCTGTGTTTTCAAATTTAAGTCTCACACTGTCAGCACTCTTGAGTCATGAATTTAGCTGCAATACTAATTTATAGGGTCACTAGCAACATGTTTATGTTAGGCTAATCTATCAATATAATTGTTGTCTAATTTGTCTCTACATCATTTGTTTGATTATTAGTTTTCATAATCAAAATTCGTTAATTTGGTGTTATGGCTCATAATGATATACGGCGTAGCAAATATAATATATACATATAGCGTTGTGTTACGTACTTGTTAGTTGTTTTCATTTGTTTGTTTGAAATGTTTTGCCAATTGTTATCAGTCACTTGTTTTGTGTTTTCTTACATGTCTTTTGTTCAAGAATCTATGATAAGAATAAGATAATTTGCTATATTGAATGACAAATTAAGTTTAGTTATGATAGGTCACGTAATATTAAGGACAAAAACAGATGCGTCACTTATCAAACTGAAAAAAAACATAGAAGATACACAGAGTTATTTCTAGGAAAATTGAAGATATGGATATGGACGAATCACAGAAAAATAGTAAAAACGAAATAGCAAACTCAAATTTTAACGATGGTCGACACGACGCGTAACTATTAATAAAACAAATCTATCCTAATATACAACACTACAATACAGAGAACGTTAATGATACCGCCAATTTGTTTAATTAATATGTGAAAAACTCAGCGACAATATTTTGAAAACTTTAAAGAAAAGGGAAGATATTCTTTGTACTAACAATCTGCGCTAACACATAGCAAATGATTTTCAGTCAAACAAAATGTTTTAAACCACTTCCCGAATGACCTTGAATTTGAATTTAAATTCATTCACCGTCTGTGCCATCCTTCTGTTAAAGTGTATTCATTTGGTAAATACAATAAGTCTGCATATAAACAGATATCACAGGAATTATTTACAAGGAATTCTACTTTTCCCTCGATCTCCGAATCTAACTGGGTTTTTAAGGAAATCTTGACCAATGTTCATCATTATAAATAAGGCAACAGTTATAAATTGCCGAACGGTTTGTCGATCTTCTAACAGTGAAAAATTCAGGTTTACAGGATCTCACATCAGAGTCGTTGCCTGTATGCCCATTAGAGACATGATTACACTTGTTCAAGGTTCATTATGAAAACATGAGGCAGATACTACGTTTTGCGTAACAATACAGAGAACGCATTCCAAAACAGAATACGTTAACAATATAGTAATCAATTTAAAATACGAACATTTTATTGCACACCAAACATTAACCCACGGCATTGTATCTTGTTGATATCACTTCGTATACTTATTTAAGTTGCAATCAGATTGATTTTCATTTATCGAAGGATTAATACAATCAATAACTCTAATCATGCAACCGTTAACTATCAAATACATGTGGTTATACAATACATCTATTTAATTAAGACTACTTTCTGTTTTCGACATTCTGGTATCCTTTCGTTTTTTGGAAGAAAAAACGTTGAAAAAAAAAATGATACAAGATATTTCAGAAATTTATATTGAATATAATTCATAACGAAATATATTGCTTATAGTCCCACAAATCATTTTCATAATTACCGATTTCACGAGAATATTACAGAATAAAGATAATTTGCTATATTCTCTATATGTTTGCCTTTTATTTACTTTGAAGTATGACTGAAAACAATGAATGAAATTATGTAGTGTGTATACTCGTATATGAACAATAACTTTAATATATGTGATTTTACTTGGTAAAAATACTGTATATTTCTATTCTATATTTTTCACAATATCGAAAACGGAAAGTCCTTATCACAGTGTCAATTATATTACCAATACATTACACGCAATGAAGTTAAACTATTTACACTTTTAGTTCCACAGTTGCCCGACACATGGACGAAACGTAACTGGCATTCAGCTCAGTCTTCAAGGTGCACTGTAAACCTTATAGTTCCGGACGCTATTACTAATGCAATTATTGTTGCAATGATATCAACAGACGAGAATTATAATGGTATGTAATACCCAGCTTTTTAAATATAAATTAACACGGCACTCCTTCCAGTGATTTCAACTGATATCATGGTGTTGATCATTTGTTATGCATCATTGAAATTTTAACGTGATATTGTTAATCTCTAAGAATGCACGCTATTTTTTTGGTAATTATGATCATAAATAATACTTTTCTATTAACAGGCGGATATTGGATTGGAGTGTACTACAGTGGCTCGGGCTTTACAGCTTGGAATGGACAACCTTTGATGTATACCAATTGGTTCACCGAGCCTTCAAATACGCAACAAAACAACAAATGTGTTGAAATCAGGTACGGATCATTTTGTCATCGTTATCAAAGTATCCTAAATTTAACGCACAATTGAGCATATTCAGGTTTCAAGATCAGCTTGAAAGACACTTAGTAATAGTGAAGACAATTTGCATTGTTGATTTCTCTGCGATTATGTGGTGAATAACCACCAGGTAGATTACCTTTAAAATGCGAACATCGCCTCTTATGGTTCGTGCGACATGAATTTAAATACGGCTCATTGATTACGAAAACGTTTTTTTTTGTTTTGTTTTTTGTAATCAGCTATTTACGTTTTGACATCCAAGGTTGATTTTTGAAAGCGCCATGTGCTGCTTTAACAAATGTAATCAAATGTTCATTGTGTGAGTATGTGTTCTTTGGATTCGTAAAATGATTAAAATAAAACCTACAGATGTAATCTTGTTTTAGTTATTTAAATAGTAGAACCAAAACACGTGCAGACACCATCTATGAGACCGCTCTCCAGCATTTTTGAAACATGAATTAAATATCTATGACCTCATATTCATTTCTATCAACATAATGCAATGTGCAAAGTAGTATCAGGGCTGGGTTCAAATATCTCATTGTAAGCAACACACACTAGTAATACATCACCCGACATATGTTTTTAATCATATATAATTGGGTTGGTTGTTTCTTTCAGAATCCAATTTGTTTTTATTGTGATTTGTTGTCTATTGTTTGAATATGGTCAAGCATTACTATGAAATGAATAATTTCTTTAATTTTAACAGAAAGGATATCGAATGAAGCAGTTAATCAATGTGCTGCAAAGCCAATAAACTACAACTGTTTTTCTGGTGACGAAAAACTTGAACTGATACATGTGTTAAATATAGTTTTTCTAACCCGTGACATTGTATGTGTTAAACAAGTGTATTCTTTTCAATATATATGTATAGATTATTACACAGGCATGTATGTATGTATCAACGAGATCAGTCCTTATATTCAATATATTGCAGGAACTAAGTATCGAAACACGTAGAATAACATGAATTTAAAGAAGTGTCCCATCATTTATCAGATATATTAAAGCTTATAATATTTATGTAGAATCTTGAGCCTGGCGATAGAAATAATCACTTCAGTTTCTCTGGAAAGTATATTCAAAACAGTTGATATATCGGATATAATAGTATTCAGTATACTGGGGATAATTATGATGCAACCTGAGGCATGGTGGTCTGAAATTGCAAGTGTGTCAACATTGTGAAAAACATTTGTTAGATTGCTTTTTGTTTATTTGTTTTCACAGAAAAAACGGTTTATGGTACATTAAAAAGTGCAGTAAACAAAAACGTTACATCTGTGAGGAGTATCTTGTCACTTAGTAAGCTGCTTTCATTTTTCCCTTAAGTGATTTCAGCAATGATGCATTTATTCATTGATTCCTAGTATGTCTGTTTTTTGAATATACATAGTGTAATTGTCATATTATCTAGTCGGTAACTCTCTACCTTGTGAACCCGTATGGATACTGAAGATAAAAACGTGGCTGGTGCTGATTTCATGTCTGATAAATGAAATGTGTGCAATCAATGAATTTTAGAAATATCAGGAAATTCGTCGATATAATATATTATATATCATTTTCAGTATTGTGAATGTAGATTGCCCTCAGCGCATTCGAATATGAGCTAAATTTTTATTTTCGCATTTTGTAATTTATCTTTTTTATATATCACATACTGTGTCCCACCTCGACCCTTGGGGTTATTATTATATTGCAATTAAAACACATGACAGTTTTTATGGGGTGAATTGCTGCATTCTAGTTGGTATAGTGTTAGCTCAAAACGAGGCTTCACTTACAGAGGTGTGCTACATCCAGGAATAATGTGTCCATTGCAATGACCAAAACATACTGGGCATTTTTTGCCATAGTTTACAAATAGTTTTACTCGTATTATATGCCTTATGATTATGTTCTTCTTTTTTATAGACTACGAATGGGAACCGTTTGTTACCAATGGAACATGTTTCAATAGTTATATGTCTTAAATGTTTAGTTATCAACTAAAGAATAATTAAAGTTAAAAATGCCATAATTAGCGTTGTTTATTTGGTAAATGCATGCGACAAACAAATGTGTATATTAATATGTTTTGAATTAGAAGAACTTTGGTGATCTTTGTTTATTTACAACAATTGTATACAATTACAACAAACTATTTAAGTATTGACATTATTTACCCCGTAACGATATATAGAAATGCATAAAGTTGTAAAGTGGTTTATTGTACTGCTCACTGAGATAAATCAATGGAGCAATATTAGATTGTTGTGATGATTTGATTGATCACTCGCCAAGTATCAGGTATATGTCATTAATATACAGGTCATATTTTGATAGTTTGCAGTGCATTACTGAAATTCGATTCACAGTCGGGTATATTTGGTGCAATTCTATCTTTTACACTGTAAACAATGCGGGTTTCGTCTATCAGGGTTGTTATAGGTGGCTGGCTCGTCAGGTTGAATATATAGGAAGTGGTTGTAAGGGGTAAGGCAAGGCAAGTTACTCTCGGATCGCTCGACACTAATACGCTACATTCAGTCATATGGACATCAGGAGTATAGTACAGCCAGATATTTATTACAACTTCAATCGTCGCCATAAGCCCCCGGTTCTTTTCCCTCCTATTACGCCAGAGCCGCGCTCCCTCCCATTTTTATAATCAACAGTGTTAATCGTTCAACCAATAGTCTTAATACTTTGCATGCGTTGTCACGACGGCATGTGAACTCCACCACTGAGGGCGTCACCCCATAGCATCTTCACGACAACATCAATGCAACCTGGTGACACTGTCCTGTCTAACGATAGATGAAAATGACCCCAATTTTCGGACCGTGGGAACGTATGGTTAAAAAATATACATACAGTAGAAACTACAGTAAGTACAGACAATGGGAATTGTATAAAATCAAATACAGACAACAAGAAATATATAAAAATTAAATACAGACAGGAGAAAATATAAAAACAAATGCGGTGATTAAATAAATAGGATGATTATAATTATAATGTTGAGATGATGGACGAGTCTAGAACAAGAGTCGTTTACATGTGTCTGGACCGCGAGTCGTTATGTATTCAGGAGCACCATTATAATTAGACTTGTATACAGCATCCGCAACAAGGTGAAAACATAAAATATTACTCATTTGCAACTATGTTAGTAAATAACCAATAGTTTTAATACTTTGCATGCGTTGTCATGGTGGCAGATGGACTCCACCACTGAGGGCGTTGTCCCATAGCATGACATCAATGCAACGTGGTGACAACACGCAACAATTCATGATTCACATTCAATATAAAATAGTTACTTTTTAAAGAGGATATAAGAAGTTTAACCCTATATTATAAAAAATTTTAAAAGTTAGCTATTATATTTCTTTCCTATTCCCATTATTGCTTTTGATATATTTGTCCTCGCAATGTATCAAAATAGATCAGACTCGAAAGATCATACTATGACATTTATACTGCAAAATTATACACGTGGTGGTCGTATAAACCATTACGCAGCACAAATCTATCATTAAATACTTCATGTTTAGCCATAATTTTGTGGGGAAAAAACAACACGTAATGTCGCAGTATAGAGCTACGAGTATTTTGTGGTTGAATTTTGAATGTGGCGTACATGTATGACACGTTTTGCCTTTAAGGAAAACGTTCCTAATTTTTTTAAACATTTTACGGTAATGTAATGTTGCTTTAAACGTATATGTGTATGTGATTGATAGTATTCTTTCGAAAAAAACAAGCGACACATGCATGCTATAATCTGGGGTTAGTAACCTAAAACAATTCGACAACATAATGCTTCATAAAATATTTATGATGGATCCAACGGATCAATCAAATCTAGGGTGCTCTTCGTGATATTATCCGTGTGGCCAAATGTGTTTTATATTATACAAGGAATCTTAATTTGTTTGTAATTACATAACAGAAGACAATACAGTCCTACTATTGTATATAGCATTTACGGGATTCTAAATTTGCCAAATATTATGTTATATACACCACGATTGGTAGATCATGCGTATCCACAAACTGATGCAAGTAAACAACACCGACGAGCAACAACACACTAATGCACAGTGCTTGGATCAAACGAAATGTAATGTACTCTTTTCTGTAACGTTGATGAAGCATCAGTACATTGTCACTAGATGTAGTATATCGCAATACAGAGCCATCACAAGGCTGTGACATTGCTGCTATTTGATTAATACGTTATCTACAATGATTTGGATCATCAATATGTAACGTGTTTTGTTTTTGGCTAGTTACTATCGTCCAGAAATGTTTATTATTGCTCTACTGCGAACTATATTTATTCTTCATTGAAACGTTGGCATGCGTGCACTGCAACATGGATACCATTTCTTGAAATGCACATATACCAACATTTTAAATTGAAGCTTCTGGCTTTAACACCTCTCAAAAATAATTACAAGGAACAAAGCACAGAAAGTTACACTATGAATACATTCACTAAAATAGGTGATTTCTTAGGGAAGTGTGCATTGGTGATAACTCACAGTTCCAAGATGTTGAAATTGATGACAGTCAATGGCTTCTGCAACATGATGAAGAAATACAGGAATCTTGCTTGCAGAGGGGCGCTTTTATTGTGCATGGCATCGGTGATAGCAGGTTGAAGCCTGTATTACTTGTTTCACAATATCGCAGCAGCAACACACAGGGTTGTCAGTTAAAATTATGGCCCCAGCTGTCCTCAGTCTTGCCTATTTATAGGCATAAATGACCCAGATTCAGGAATGCTACCTGGGTTTCCACATGAGCCAACCAGAATGTCGTCTTCCTAGCAGCTGTCTCACGTTAGTAACTCAGTATAGAGTAAACATTCTGTGTTATGTAAATCACAAGCACACCTAGTAGATTCTAATTGTCCTTCCAGAGTTGTAAACATCCTTTGTTATTGTAGCCTGGACTCACCCGGCACGAGTCCATGCACAAATAAATACAGTTTCCGAACTAGTTGACCACGCAATTTCCACTGGGTTCGAGGAATTCGTAGTAATAATTTTAGGAGAGAACAACAAACACACTGACACAGGTATCTGTTTAAAGACAACATGAACTTCTATTCAATACTCAATAGATTAAGTTACAATCCTCTCATTAAGTGTCATAACTTGATATATCCAAAAGATTACACTCCCTAATGCACGTGCATGAACAAGTCCTGGATACGTACTACTAATCCCTAACAACTACACTATATTACTGATCATTACAGTGAAAGTGAATCAGTAAGTCAACAGTAAAAGTTAACAATTATGTAGTTCCTTACAATGTGTAACAATCTGTGATTAACAAAGTTCTAACAATAATGTACTAACAGTAATGCAATAATTATCATGCACAATAATCCTTACAAGTAAGGCTAAGCAATGCACCGTAATCACTTACAGTAATGTTTAACAGTAGTGTAACGATAATACATCAGAAATGCTAACAATAATATTTAACAGTAGTGTAACGATAATACATCATAAATGCTAACAATATTATTCAACAGTAGTGTGACAATACACCGTAACTGCTAACAGTAATATTTAACAGTAGTGTGACAATACACCGTAACTGCTAACAGTAATATTTAACAGTAGTGTGACAATACACCGTAACTGCTAACAGTAATATTTAACAGTAGTGTGGCAATACACCGTAACTGCTAACAGTAATATTTAACAGTAGTGTGGCAATACACCGTAACTGCTAACAGTAATATTCAACAGTAGTGTGACAATACACCGTAACTGTAACAGTAATATTTAAGAGTAGTGTGACAATACACCGTAACTTGCTAACAGTAATATTTAACAGTAGTGTGGCAATACACCGTAACTGCTAACAGTAATATTTAACAGTAGTGTGACAATACACCGTAACTGGTAACAATAATATTTAACAGTAGTGTGACAATACACCGTAACTGCTAACAGTAATATTTAACAGTAGTGTGACAATACACCGTAA